GCGTGCACCTTCAGGTTCAGGTACGGTACCTGCCGGGCAACGTGATTCATGGGAACACCATGCTTCTTCATGCAATTCTGCCCTCGATAATCAGGAGGGTTTCCTACTTCGTACGTGGAGGTCGCTGCACTGTCTATCCTCCACTGCAGGAGAAAAAAAAATATTTTTTCGCAATTTCCTGCCCTGAAGGCGTTCAGGTCGGCCTCTCTAAAACAGTGAACGGCACTTACCTTATCTGAGACGTTTTGATCAGTTACAAGTTTCCTGAAAACTGCCTCAGCAATGGGTGATCGACAGATGTTACCTTAAAAACACAGGAGAGGGCAGAAGTGAGGGTCAGGTTTGAGGGAGGACAGGTGCTGACTGCCAGCACAGAGTGGCTGGTGGGCCTCGTCCCACCTGCCCAGGGCACCCCTTCCCAGGAGAGCATCTGCTTGGAGGCCGTTGCCCTGCCCGTGGAGGCAGGACCTGTGAGCACCAGCTGGCCAAGCCCAAGTTCAAGGGTCTGACACCCACGGTGCAAGCACTCAAAGTACCAATGACAAAGACATCAGAAAGACAACCATAACCAAAATCGGTTTTCCAGGTTGCTATCAATGACCCCGAAGTGGGTCATGAAATCAACTTGGTGGGTAGTAACCAACTAATGTTAAAATGAAACACAACAGTTAAAAAATAAAGCATTTTCAAGTATATTGCACATAACAAGGGTTACTACTATTTCATAAGACACACCGATGTGCTTAGGCATGAGTAGTCAGCACAAACTTTCACTTCATCCTGTGTGTGAAGTCCTAGCTGGAGTGGCAGGACCCGGGAGTCGGCCTGAGTCACAGGCACGGCTTCTAGGGCACCAGGCGGGGACCCCCAGGGCCACCCTCACTCAGACCAGCTTCCCACAAGTTTGGGAGTCCCACAGGTTAAATAATCCTTTAGAAGGACTCACAGCATTCAGGAAAATGCTATACTTAAAACTGCACTTTTATTTTAATAAAAAGTTAAAAGCAGAACCAGCCCACGTTAAGGAGCATACAGCAGATCCTGGGAGGGCTCCCAGCAGAAAGCTTTCTGGCCTCAGGGACGCATCGCCCCGTCATCAGCGTGAGCCCAGGATGCTCACCAGGCTAGATGCAGAGGGTGCGCTGGGTTCTCATTAGTAGGCATGACTGCCGGATTATCAGCCCGTGGCTGGATCCAGCACCCCAGGGCTGAGTTATCTCCTTGGTCCCCCACGCAGGGCAGGGCAGGGCAGCTCCCTGAGAACAAGACACTCCTCCCAGGAGCCAGGACAAAAGCCATCCCTTTTCTCAGTCTGGGCCTGAATTCCTCACTCACAGGGGAAAAAGATAAAAGACATAAAATCTTCTCTGAAATTATCTCTACCATGTGCCGAGCAATGTATTTACAGAGATACAGAGTTAGCTACAATAAAACAGGAAAATCAACGCTGGTGATGGGAACACAGAAAAAAATTCTAAAAAGAATAAACAACCTAAGAAGAAAATTGGTTATCAGAAAACAAGGAAGGAAGAGTAGAGTGGATTTTTAAAGGCCGAAGAGGACCTTAATGGGCACCATCTTGAAAGGGGACTTGAGTCAGGGCGACTGGATGAATGAGCATATTTTCCACACTTTTCCCCCAGATGGCTACTTTTACAGCAAGAAGATATCGGTATAAGTGTAGGTAAGAAAAAAAATTTACGCCCTAGCCGGTTTGGCTCAGTGGATAGAGCGTCAGCCTGCGGACTGAAGGGTCCCAGGTTCGATTCCGGTCAAGGGCATGTACCGTGGTTGTGGGCACATCCCCAGTGGGGGGTGTGCAGGAGGCAGCTGATTGACGTTTCTCTCTCATCGATGTTTCTCTCTATCCCTCTCTCCTTTCTCTCTGTAAAAAATCAATAAAAAAATATTTTTAAAAAATTTACTACTGTAAAGATTAGAAGTTAAAATCCTACTACCTAAGAGATCAACAGATAAGAGATGCTTGCTTATAACTAGCCCTCAATTTCAAAAGTCGACATCACTAAATTGACATGTCATTTAAAGAGAGAGCTTGTCAGGAAAACACAGCACTCCAGGTTCCACCTTCAGAAAAGTTGTGAAACTTAAAATGTCTCCTTCAGATTCCTCTAGGAAAAAAATTTCAATCTATAAAGTCTCGTTTGTTTTTTCCAAATTAGAAGCATAATATGGACTTATTCAATACCTTCATTTCAAGGTAAGAGACTCAGAAAAAAATTAAATTCTCCAAGGGCAGACGTCCCACCCGGGGAGGCCCGCTGCAACACCCAGCACAGTGTGTGGCACACAGTCAGTTGTTGTCAGAAAAAGTCCTCTGACACCACGAATACGGTATCACCTGCAGCCTTGCTGGCTGTTATCTTACAAAAACAGAAAAAACACTTAATAATCTTGCCAAAATAAGTTCAATTCAGTGAAAAGCATGCGACACTTTTTACTTTAGTCTGAAAAAGGTCCAAGTAAAGGCCCTGAAGGAAGGAGATCTGTACACTTTAGCAACAGCGCTCACTGTCCCGTGCACAGGTCCCAGGTGAGATGGTCCCGCCTGCGGCCCGCCCGCTGGTCTAATCTCAGCACAACAGCTGCGCACCATCCTCCTCAGGCCTGGAGACGGGGACCAAAACCCGCCTGTGTGTGCAGCCCACGGAGCTAAATACAATTCACACATTTTTAAACAGATTTTAAAAACCCTCAAAAGTAGAGGAACCTCTTGTGACATGGGAGAATGGTATGGAATTCAAACCCAGTGTCTTTAAGTAAAGCCGCTGGGCCCAGCCATGCTGGACCCTTTATGTGCGAGGGCCCGCAGAGCACAAAACAGAGACAGCTCGCAGACTCCTGGCCCCAGGCCCTCGATGCACAGCGGGCAGTGACTCCTCCCTCCGCACCCAGAGGTGCTCGTTAGCATCCACGGGGGCGGCGAGAAACGTCACCCACCACCTCCCACGCGCAGGTACAGAGGAGGGTGCGGAGGGCTGGAGAATTAGGTCTCCCCGGTTTGGCTTTTACAACAAAAACTCCAAACCCGTGCAGTGCATCTACCTTCAGCTCAGATTCATTCACAGGCCTGAGCCGTGAACACCACCACCTAAGGCTGTGCTGGGTCTGGGGCAGCAGGAGCCCCCCCCCCACGCCCCCGCAGCGTCAGGACTCCCCGGCGAGCGCTGACAGTGGTTCCGGCGGGCGCCACGGGAAGGGCCAGGCTCGGAGACAGGACAGGCGAGGGGAGGCGAAGGGACCCGCTGTGCAGACGGACCGGGCCGCGACGCAGCGCTGCGCGGAGGGGAAGCGGGGCTCCCGGCCCACCCTCGGGACCTACGTCCTCGCCCAGCGCGCAGCCCCGAGCGCACGGGGCCCACCCAACCCCCAGGGAAGTGGGACGGGGGCTAGAACCGCACGTCTCACCCAGACACACGAATAGCACCGACTTGGGTGCCTGCTCAGCCATCTTCGCGCGCAAACACCGTGGCGCCCACAGACCGCGTAGGAACTGTACGGGCGCAGCGCATGCGCACTCTGAGCGGACCGCCCCGCGCGCCTGCGCTGTCCGACTTTAGAGCCTCCTGGGGCGAGCCTGCGGGACTTGCGCCTGCGCAGTCGGGCGTAAACTACGCGGCGGGAGGCGGGGCCGAGAGGCCTCAAGGGAGGGACGGAGAGGGGGGCGGTGCTATATTCCTGGGGGCGGGGCCTCGGTGCTGGGCGGAGGGGCGGTGCTATAGCCTGGAGGGCGGGGTTTCGGGGAGGGGAGGAGAGGGCGGGGCTGAAACCTGCAGGGCGGGGTGGGACGGAGGGGGGCGGGGTCGTGAGTCACCTGGACGGCGCGGGGTGGGGCGGACTTAGGTCAGGGCTCTGCCGAGGGACCACCTAAGGGTGGGGAGGGCACTAGGTGGGACGGGCGTGGGCTACAGAGCCTTACCGGAGGGGCGGGGACCTGAGCGGCTCAGGTGGACGTCCCCCCTCACCTGGGCCTCGCGGCCGGAACCTGAGGCCTGCGATCTGGGGTGAGCGGGGTCCTCACGCGACCAGGGGCCTCTCCGGGACCCGAGGCCCCACTCCTCCCCCAGTGCCCCGGTCGGAACCCCGCGCACAACCGTTCGCTCCGGGACAGGGACCGTCAGCCAAGTCGCCTCGGTTCTAAAAAGGTGGGGTGCCCTAGAGGCCATCTCGGGACAGTCGGGCACCGCCTTTCCCTGGCGGCCACCCGGGCAGAGCTGTCCCAGCCCCGCGCTACCTGGCCCAGGTGTGCACCGCGGGCCCGCCCTACGCCGGGAGGCGGGGCCGGAGGAGCGCGCCTTCCTCTTCCTGGCGCGGCGTCCGCGCTCCAGGGGCCCCGGAGCGGACCAGGCTCGGGTCACAAGTGAGTACGGAGTCGGCCGCGCCGCCAAGCCAGACCCGGGGTCGGGACGACTCCTTCCCCTTTGCTGGGGCGGGAACTGGTTGATGAGAGACGGTGTCAGGGGCTCTCGCTGTTGCGCATCTATTGCCGCGGAGGTGCCCTGCGCACCGTCAGGAGTTAGGGGTGACGCCAGGTCCCCTGCTTACCGTCAGGAGTTAGGGGTGACGCTGAGGTCCCCTGCTTACCGTCAGGAGTTAGGGGTGACGCTGAGGTCCCCTGCTTACCGTCAGGAGTTAGGGGTGACGCTGAGGTCCCCTGCGCACCGCCAGGAGTTAGGGGTGACGCCGAGGTCCCCTGCGCACCGTCAGGAGTTAGGGGTGACATCAGGAATCTGCCCCACAGCGGTTTGGATTCAGGGCTACTCCCAGTCGTTACAATTCACAGAAAAATTCTTCCGAAGTTTTTAATTTTATCGATTGCAATTTGTTATTTGTAAATATCTAATATTTAAAAGGCCATGGATTTGCATCATTTTCCTCCCATTTTGTTTGAATAGGTGATATTTTAGAACAGGGGTGGACAAACTTTTTGACTCGAGGGCCACAATGGGTTCTTAAGCTGGACCGGAGGGCCGGAACAAAAGCATGGATGGAGTGTTTGTGTGAACTAATATAAATTCAAAGTAAACATCATTACATAAAAGGGTACGGTCTTTTTTTTTTTTTTTTCAGTTTTATTCATTTCAAACGGGCCGGATCCGGCCCGCGGGCCGCAGTTTGCCCATGGCTGTTCTAGAACTTTGGTGATGGTTGAGTTTGGCTATGCTTAAGTTGTGGGGGCAGGAGGCAGAAAGAGGGGGTGACTGTGCTTGGTGGGGGTCCCTGAAGTGACAGCCCTGCAGCTGTCACGTGGCCCTCCCTGCCATCACCCCACAGTCTGAGGTCTCTGAGAGCCAAAGAACCCACAGACTGCCGGTGGGACCCTGTGGATCTGAGGTAGGCGGGGCTTCCTCATTCGAACAGGTGTGAGACTGCTCTGCTTTGGTACCTGAGGATAGGGAAATGAGATTTACCCTGCTGGATGGAAACCTGTCATTTTCGCCCCCTTTCAACCAATATTTCTGGGTCACCACTGCTGCTCTAACCACCTGAGGGTCCACATGTTGGGATGTTAGTTGGGGAATCTCTGCTGCCTGCCCCGGGACGCCTGGGCAGTGGCTGCCTGGGGAGGTGCCACAGAGCAGCACTGTGTTGGAGGTTACAACAGTCAGAACAAGTTCCACCCTGTTTATCATGTTTCAGGAGACCTGGTTGCTTGGCTCACTGTTCTACTTACACAGGATTTCTGTATAGTGTGTAAACACTGCCCCTCATCTTTTGTAAGATTGGAAAAATAATGGGGAAAAATCTTTGCTCATCAAGAGTGCTTCGATGCTTTTTAAAAATATACATATTTTTACTGATTTCAGAGAGGAGGGGAGAGGGAGAGAGTGAGAGAAACATCAGTGATGAGAGAGAGTCATCGATCAGCTGCCTCCTGACGCCCCCCCACTAGGGATGGAGCCTGCAACCCAGGTATGTGCCCCAACCGGAAATGGAACTGTGACCTCCTGGTTTATAGGTCAAATGCTTACCCCCTGATGATTTGACACTTTTATCCCATTTTAGAATCTTTATTCTCAGGAGACTTCTCACTGTTTAGAATTAAGGGGGTGGTGTTTCCAAAGGAAGGAAAGTGATGCAGGTCAGAGGGGAAGAGTGTCTGAGAGCCAGGCTAGTGGGATCACACAGGCTAGTGGGGTCACACAGGCTAGTGGGGTCACACAGGCTAGTGGGGTCACACAGGCTAGTGGGAGCCACACAGGCTAGTGGGAGCCACACAGGCTAGTGGGAGCCACAGAGCCTCCACACCCGTGTGTTTGCAAATGCATCCTTATAGGAATAACCCCATGCAGTTTAAGACCTAAGCACACTGAGGTTTGTTTTCTTCGGGAAGAGTTCATTTTTTACAACAAATGATCTGGCCAGAGTGGAGCGTGTCTTCAGCTTCGGCACGGAAAGGGTCATGGTCTCCTGGGCTGGAAGTCATGTTTCACTCCCGACTCCCTGTCCCCTGGCTGCACCTGGGGTCAGGGAGCTAGAAACGCAGCCCAGGCCCCACGAATGTTTGGGTTCAAGTGGTTAGTGTTGTTTAAAGTTTGGATTAGAATTTGGATCAGGAAAGTTAACGATATGGCTGGAGAGACCGGTTTTGATTTCTAGAACTGACAGCTTTGTCTCCTTAAGTCAAAGGAAGTACTTAAACCAAGGCTACAGACACATCAGAAGCGGTTTCAGAAACAGTGCCCATGTTGCCAGGCAGTGGTGTTCATGGTTGATGTGCCAGCAAAGGTTCTAGGGCGAAAGGCAACTTTCAGAAGCTTACATAGATAGGCGAAGTTTCTTTTATTTGGGCTAAGGTTTAATCGGTTCGAAATATTTCTAAATATTGTTTCTTTGATTTTGGTTGAGATTTTTATCAATTTAGTAAATAACCTCTATTTCATGTAAATTATAAGGCTTAATAATGAATGGAAAATTGAAAACTGTTTCTAAACTTTTAAACTTTTCCTAGAGATACCATTGAGAAAAATAATGGTCTTGTTGATGGAAGAAAAGTTTGGGAAACCCTGGAGTCCCTTGCATCCATTCCAGAACCTTGGTGGAGGCCAGGCTGGAGACTAGTCCGTTTCCTCACCCCCATGGCAATGCCCTTCAAGAAGGACCCTACGTCCCCGTTTCCCCCCATACCCAGCCAGAGTTTATTCCCTCTGATCAGCATGTGAATCGTTTCCACATCCTAAGCTCATTCGGAGCTTTTGCAATTTCCAAAGTAAAAATTTTCTCCCCAGCTTTTTATAAACTCTTTTCTTCATTAAAACAATGTCTGAGTATGAAATTTTTCAATTATGTTAAGTTCTTTTTAAAGAAAACTTTACATCTAAGTTTCTTAGCTTGAGGTTTGGCAGCCATCCTCCTGTTAGGAGGAAACTCAAATGTTTATAGAGAATTCGCTTTGCTTTGGATTCAAGAGACTCGAGACTTTCATGATCACTCAGACGCCCACCGTGGTTAGCATGGAAGGGGCTTCTTTAGTGATGGCCTCTGTCTCCATAACTTCAGCAACATTCGGGTCAGGCTCCGCACACGCCATGTGTAGTCGGGGGGCTGGGTGAGCCCTGGTTGATGTTGGGAACAGGAATTACAGCTAATGTATAGCTATGCTATTGTTTGTTGGTTCTGACAGGAAGTCACTATATATAAACTGTGGTCAGGCAGTGTGATTTGTCAGAAATTGAACAGAACCTGTATTGTCGAAACAAAGCAGCCAGGCCCTTCTGCAGTTGAGCTGAACACAGCCGTATCCTCACCGTGACCAGTTCGCGGTGACACAGGACTGTGCCTACACAGAACTCGGGCTCGCAGATGGAGCAGTGCATCTGCAGGCCTCCTGGGCTGCATCTGAATCCCCAAGTATTTACAGAAGAGAAGAGGCGGGACCTGCCCCTGCAGCAGGATGTTTGCAGCAGCAGCTCTCAGCTGTGGAATTTGCTTATTAGATGGCTTGATTCTGCTTGGGTGTGGAGATCAAAGTGGAAAGGTTTTGGTGGGGGTAAGATGTATGCATTGGTTACTATGCTTTAGTTGCACAGGCCAGAAACCTGGGCCAGCCGAGCCCCGGTTCTCTCCCTCCAGCTCTTCTGCATGGCTTTGTCTTCAGGCTCTCTCCTTACACCCCCCAGGGGTGACATCTTGCAGCAAGTACCTGGAGAAAGGTTCTCCTGGCAGCGCCCACACCAGCCCTTGGCCAGGAGCCCATTGTGGACCAGCTCTGGTTAGGAAATCGAAGTGGCCCAGGAGGCACGTTGGGATCATCTGTTTCACTTGAGGTGCAGCATCAATGGAGACAAACTGGTGCTCATTCCAAAATGAAAGACACAGGTGTTCAGCAGAAGGAAGAAAGTTCACTAGTTACAAACTCAGTTCCGACCTTCCTGGCTGGAGGGATGTGGCGGCGTGAGCCTCGCTCATCTCAGCCTGAGGTGCCTGAGGCCCCCTGGAGCACCTGCTTGCTGGTCTCCTTGCACTCAGGTCTCCTTCCGTATTTGTTCTGTTTTGTTCTCCCTTTTCTGGGAGGACCTGGAAATGACAGTGTAGGGCAGAGGGCTGTCAAGTTGTACCTTGCTCCTCTCTGACCCTGCTTTCTCTCAAGGTCTGGGAAATGCTACCGAGTCTGAGAGGCAGGCACACTTTGCTGTTAGTGTATTCTCTTATAAATCCACCAATTTCATATGAAATGAACCTTTTCTACTCCTCAGGGAATTAAAGGGGTTTAACCTTTAATTCCCCCAAACCTTGCAAATACTTTATTCATTTAACAAATATGTATTGGGCAATTACTCTATGTCATTATGGCATGTGCTGGAGATACTACAGTTAATAAAATAAAATAGTCAATGTGCTTATCCCCATGGCACTTACATTCCAGTGAAGGGCATGTTCCAGAAAGATCAGATACAGACAGGCAAACAGACAGACAGATAGGATAGCTAGACAGATATACATATTGACAGATATGATAGACAGGTATGTAGATATAGATAGATAGATAGATAGATAGATAGATAGATAGATAGATAGATAACAGACAGACATATTAGCCATGGCATAGACCAACTATGATGAGAAAACTTCGAGGGATGTAAGCAGTGGAGTAATATTATCTGAGATGTTACTTAGATGGAGAATTTCTTTGGAGAAATGACCATAAATTCAAGACTGGGAAACCAATGAGGAGGCAGGTGAACAGACAACACAAGAACTGATTTTCTCTGGGCCGGGCTGGTGGCTGGGGAGCGGGCGATGCCATCAGATTCTGAGCGTGTGTGGAAGGTTCAGGTTCTTAGAGGGTGGATGTGTAGATGAGCATGAGGAATGGGAGTCACAGCTGGCCTAGGGGTGGAGTGTGAGCTCCCAGATGGATGAGACCTACCTGGAGAGGAAGCTGGGAGAACAGGTTGGGGAGGAGGCGGGACGTCACAAGTTATGTTTGGATGCGTTTAACTTGAGATGCTTGCCTGATACTTGGGCCGAGCAGATAATTGATATTGTGAGTCTGGAATGTAAGGGAAGATTAAAGAGTAGATGAAACTTGGAGAATGATCTGCCATAGTTGGTGCTTCAAGTCGCAGAGCCTGAGGTTTGAGTGCAAAGAAGGAAGAGGCTTGGGAAGACAAGAGGACCTGGAAGGAGGCGGAGAAGGCGGGCCAGCCCGACTTTGTCGCCCTTCCTGGAGGCAGCTCCAGTCTGTGTTAGCAACTTGGTGGCATCTTTTTAAAAATGTGGCTGCTGTGTCCCTCACCACTCAGACCAGACATGGGCAGGTTCGTCCCTGCTCCTCAGGTCACTGGTTGTTCTGTGAGGGCAAAAGGGGAGAAACTATGCCCAGAGGCCCCTGAGTCAGTAGGAGGCGGGGCCGTCATTAAGGACTCTGTCATCCCCCACAAATGCCCAGCAGTGGAGGTCGGCCCCGCCAAGATTTCAGCTACGTGAGGGGCTGTGCTGAATGGTTTCATGTAGGAGCAGCATGTCAAGGGTCTTGAAGACCATTTCAAGAGGTCAGAGGTTGGCAGTTTTTTCCCTAAAGGGCAAGAGAGGACATGTATTGGGCTTTGTGGGCCGAACGGCAACATTGAGGCTATATTATAGAATAAAGGTCAATTCCTTTAATATATAAATTAATAAGAAACAGAGAAATGCCCCATAAATAGACAAGAAATATTAAAAAGATTTTACAGAATTGGAAAAATATTCACCATAACTTGGGGAAGAACAGGTTAAAAGTACACTGAGAATTTCATGATGAAGAAAAGGGCACTGGGTTTGCCATTTGCTGTAAACAACTAGAAACTGGGCAAAATATGAGGAATGTCTGTTTTCACATGTTGGACAACAGGCGAGTGGCGAGTGAGTCCCAGAGAGGACGGAGGCCCAGAGCGTGGGTTCTTGTTGGATAAAGAGCTCGTGAGCTTAGAGAGGCTCAGGTCCATGGCACTTGCAGAGCAGAGGGGGTTAGAGAGAGAGCTCAGGGAATCTCAGAGGGATCCCTGGAGTCCTTGGCTGAATGAGAGGCATTACTCGGGGACTTAGAAGGCAGGCAGGATAACTGCCAGGAGCTGTGAGGGGGACAGCCCTGGGCTGACACAGAGTGGGAATAGCAGTTCTAACCAGCCAAGGGTGAAAGAGCTCATTAAGCCCTGAGGACGTGGAGGAGAGAATACCACCCTAATTGTAGGGCCAACAGTGAGCTCAAGACTATGTACACACCTGAGCCACACATCAAAGTGTTCGCCTAGGCAGCTAGTTAGTTAATGACAAAGAAAGGGAGCAAATGGAGGCCCTGGCCAGGTAGCTCAGTTGGTGAGAGCATCGTTCTGAGACGCCAAGGTTGCAGGTTCAATTCCTGGTCAAGGCACAATACTACTACAAGAATCAACCAATGAATGCATAAATAAGTGGAACAACAAAATTGGTCTCTCTCTCAAATCAATAAATAAAAATAAAAAAGAAAGGGAGCAGATGGAGCCAGACACCTAATTAAGCATTAAGCCAGGTCTACTACGACCTAGATCCTTGACATCCCAGGGGACAGCGCATCATCTGCCAAACAGAGGCTAATCCCCAGGAGGGAGGAGGGACTGGTTTTCCAATCCCTCAGGGGACAGCTGGCTGTTCCCCCAGATTCCAGAAGGGGGGACCAGTAAAAGAGAAATTCCTCTGCTGAGGCATGTGCAGTAAGAGCCTAGATGGTGACCAAAAAGGGGAGGAGTCTAGCCTGGGAAAAGGAAGGGATTGGGTAGGGGGAGGGCCCATCACAGCCCTCAGAGATTCATGGGCTTCCTCTCTGTAGCAGCAGTGTGGGCCCAAGTGCAGCCTCAGCAGAGGACCTACCTGCCCATGGGTGTATGACACCCAGGGAAGTTCTGCATCTCTGGGTCCCGACCCTCCTGGGCCTGATAGCCGTGGTTGCAGGCTTGCGCCCCAGAGGCTGGACTTCTTCCACACTGGACGGAGCTGAGCCCCCTGGTCATGGATGAGACACTAGGACTTGGGGACAGTCCCTTGTTTTCGCTCCATTAAACCTTGCCCTATGCTTCAAGTCCATGGGTCCCCGAAATGCTTTCCTTGCAATTCTGTGGAAGAACCCTATTTCCACCAGTAACAAAAGAAAGCCTTGACTTCTAGCAACCACCACTTTTACTAGAAATGGGTAGACACAGGAAAATATAATCCATAACTAGGAGAAAAGTCCATCAGAAACAGGCCCAGGCAGAACAGAGATGATGCAGTGAGCAGACAAGAACATAAAAGCACCTTTTACAATATGCTGGGGGATTTAAAGAACATAAACACAATGGGCACAAAAACGGCAGGCACGAAAAACAACCAATGGAACTTTCAGAACCAGAAACATAGTCTTTAAAATGAAACATTGGAAATAAACTCACAAAACTTCTTAAAAATAAAAATTAAAAATAAAATAAAATGAAACATTGATCTGATGGTCTGAACAGCAGATTTCACATTAAACCCTTGATTTCTTTACTCTTCTGGTCCCCTGTCTGGAAATAGGGGATGATCTTGTTTTAAAATGTCTTCTACACCCAATGTTGCCTCACAGTCTTTGGAATTTCCATGGAATTATTATGCCAATATGAATTCCCCATGCGCCTGTATTAAACTGTGATGTTCTCCTGTTAATCTGTCTCTGTTAATTTGGTTATTAGCCCAGAAGGTGGGAGGAAAAGTATTACTATTCTTTAGCCCCCACACAAGCAACACTGGAGTGCAAAGTGCTGTACGAATGCTAGCCTTTGTTACTTAGTCACTCAATTCCCA